CGGGAATAAGGCTTTGCCACGGATCCAGCCAAGCCACATCCAGAACTTCCAGCCGGCGTCCTCGCCTACGCCTACGCTCAGCACGGATGCGGTGGCCGCCGATTTACGCGACAGCCGCAGGGGCGGTGTTTTTTTTTTTTTTTTTCTCACGCACCTTTCTGACGACTGCAAAACAAGACGTCCGGGTCCCTGTGCTACCTGCGCATTACGGGCGAAGGAAGCTTCGGGAAGGGACTGCGCGCCTTCACCCCCAGCGCGCATCGGCAAGGACCTCATGCAACGCAGGCATGGGCCCTTCGCCGAGCTCGGCGGCAGGGGGGAGTTCGAGGAGCGTGGCTGCGTAGGCGCGCTGGGCAGCGACAGCCAACAGTCCGGACCAGCGAGCGACCCAGGAGGCGACTGCGGCGGACTCCATGCGGGCCGGCACCGACGCTGCCCAATGACCAGCCAAGAGGCGCAGGAAAACCTGCCGCCAACTTCGACGCCGACGACGACTAGCCGACAGCGGCGCGCTCGGTCCAACTCGGGGTAGGTTTGGGTGTGCTTGCGGCGCGCGTTCTCACGACCCCTGCCACCTTGCCTGAGTTTTTTTTTTCCACGCACCTTTTTCCACGACTGCCAAACGAGACGTCCGGGTCCCCGTGCTACCTGCGCACTACCGGCGATGGAAGCCGGGGGAAAGGGGGGACTGCGCGCCTTCACCCCCAGCGCGCATCGGCAAGGACCTCATGCAACGCAGGGGAGGAGCGAGGCTGCGTAGGCGCGCTGGGCAGCGACAGCCAACAGTCCGGACCAGCGAGCGACCCAGGAGGCGACTGCGGCGGACCGCAGGTGGGCCGGCACCGACGCTGCCCGATGGCCAGCTAGAAGGCGCAGGAATTGTACTGCTTCGGTACCAAACCTGCCGCCAACTTCGACGCCGACGACGACTAGCCGACTAGCCGACAGCGGCACGCTCGGTCCAACTCTTGGCAAGTTTGGGTGCGCTTGCGGCGCGCGGCGGCGGCGACTGCGCAGCCCGGCTGGACGTCGGCGCGCGGGTGGGCCTGGCCGCGTTTGATGAAGGGGGAGACGATGGTCGCATCGACGGCGAGTTGGGAGCCATGCCAAAGGGGCAAGCCGTTCGCCACAACTTCGATGCGCCGCTCGTCGGAGACAGGAACATCAAGGTTCATGTCTGCGAGCCGCACGTGGCGTGCGACCCTCGCGCCAGCGTCACGGCAGACGCGCGACGGCATGCTCCAAGGGCAATGCGCGGGTGGCGAGCACGCCCGACGTCGCACATGCGGTGCTGTGGTCGCCGAGCGGGTTGAGCACACCGTGGCAGCTGCATCTGCGCGGTGCGAGCGGGAGGGGGAGGTACAAGGTGTTGTTACCATAGCAAGCTCTTGATGTACATTGACAAGCTTTCGGTATACAGCCTCAGGCAAACATGAGTTCACCATGACAGTTCATCGACTTTGATATTCTTGTGCAGCCGTCATTTAGGCTTTCATGGAGACTTAGATCTTAGCCATTCATCAGATCACTTCCGCTTTATGTTCTGGCATTATTTCGCTTTATGTTCTGGCATTATTTCGCTTTATGTTCTGGCATTATTTCGCTTTATGTTCTGGCATTATTTCTCTCGCCGGGCCCATGGCGACTTCGCAGGCACGGACTCTCATGATATCTGACTGCGCAAGTACCTGCTGCATGTACCTGCTCCTGATCATGATGCGAGGCTGCATGTACGATCATGAACTGATTCTGCATGCACGATCATGGACTGATTCTGCATGCACTTGCTGCCGCTGATCATTGCCCAGGCATGTGTGCAAGTTGATGCTATTTCAAGTCGGCAGGCAGTCACCTCAAAACGACTTGCAAATGTACAATGCAGCAAGTGTGTAGCTCAGTTTCATTAAAACCCGAGCTTAGACATTGAAACGGCATGCCGCAATCCCGTCGGAAACTCGACTACTCTGCTTGCGACGATGTGAGTTTTGCAATCAAAGATCTCAAGTCGGCGGATTCGGAGTTCCCGCAAGATCTTCTTCGTCCGGCCGCACGTCGTTGGGCTCAGGGTGCTGGCTGGACTCTTGGAAGTTACTCACAGCCAATCCGATGCCCGGCAGCTACTGCTACTGCTACTACTACTATTGGAGGTGCCCAGCAATGTCGCGCGACAAGGGTTTGTAACAGAGGGGAGGGACCCTCGACAACACGGGGTTTTCACCCACGGCCTGAATGCAGGAATAAAGCCAAAGGAGCCTCACTTCACGGTTCTGATTTGGCAAATCGGCTGAAATGCGCTTTCTTTGCCTTTATTCTTGTGAATGCAGGAATAAAACCAAAGGAGCCTCACTTCACGGTTCTGATTTGGCAAATCGGCTGAAATGCGCTTTCTTTGCCTTTATTCTTGTGAATGCAGGAATAAAGCCGAAGGAGCCTCATTTCACGGTTCTGATTTGGCAAATTGGCTGAAGGGTGCTTTCTTTGCCTTTATTCTTGTGAATGCAGGAATAAAACCAAAGGAGCCTCATTTCACTGTTCTGATCTGGCAAATCGGCTGAAATGCGCTTTCTTTGCCTTTATTCTTGTGAATGCAGGAATAAAGCCAAAGGAGCCTCATTTCACGGTTCTGATCTGGCAAATCGGCTGAAATGCGCTTTCTTTGCCTTTATTCTCGTGAATGCAGGAATAAAGCCAAAGGAGCTTCATTTCACGGTTCTGATTTGGCAAATCTTCTGAAATGTTTTTTCTCTGCCCTAATTCTTCTGAATGCAGGAATAAAACCAAAGGAGCCTCACTTCACGGTTCTGATTTGGCAAATCGGCTGAAATGCGCTTTCTTTGCCTTTATTCTTGTGAATGCAGGAATAAAACCGAAGGAGCCTCATTTCACGGTTCTGATTTGGCAAATTGGCTGAAGGGTGCTTTCTTTGCCTTTATTCTTGTGAATGCAGGAATAAAACCAAAGGAGCCTCATTTCACTGTTCTGATCTGGCAAATCGGCTGAAATGCGCTTTCTTTGCCTTTATTCTTGTGAATGCAGGAATAAAGCCAAAGGAGCTTCATTTCACGGTTCTGATTTGGCAAATCTTCTGAAATTTTTCTCTGCCTTAATCTGAATGCAGGAATAAAACCAAAGGAGCCTCACTTCACGGTTCTGATTTGGCAAATCGGCTGAAAATGCGCTTTCTTTGCCTTTGTTCTTGTGAATGCAGGAATATAGGAGCCTCATTCACGGTTCAAATGGCTGAAGCCTTATTCTGTTGCAGGAATGCTTCATTCACGGTTCTGATCTGGCAAATCGGTTGAAGGGTGCTTTCTTTGCTTTTATTCTTGTGAATGCAGGAATAAAGCCAAAGGAGCCTCATTTCACGGTTCTGATTTGGCAAATCGCCTTTATTCTTGTGAATGCAGGAATAAAGCCAAAGGAGCTTCATTTCACGGTTCTGATTTGGCAAATCTTCTGAAATGTTTTTTCTCTGCCCTAATTCTTCTGAATGCAGGAATAAAACCAAAGGAGCCTCACTTCACGGTTCTGATTTGGCAAATCGGCTGAAATGCGCTTTCATTGCCTTTGTTCTTGTGAATGCAGGAATAAAACCAAAGGAGCCTCACTTCACGGTTCTGATTTGGCAAATCGGCTGAAATGCGCTTTCTTTGCCTTTATTCTTGTGAATGCAGGAATAAAACCACAGGAGCCTCATTTCACTGTTCTGATCTGGCAAATCGGCTGAAATGCGCTTTCTTTGCCTTTATTCGTGTGAATGCAGGAATAAAACCGAAGGAGCCTCATTTCACGGTTCTGATTTGGCAAATTGGCTGAAGGGTGCTTTCTTTGCCTTTATTCTTGTGAATGCAGGAATAAAACCAAAGGAGCCTCATTTCACTGTTCTGATCTGGCAAATCGGCTGAAATGCGCTTTCTTTGCCTTTATTCTCGTGAATGCAGGAATAAAGCCAAAGGAGCTTCATTTCACGGTTCTGATTTGGCAAATCTTCTGAAATGTTTTTTCTCTGCCTTAATTCTTCTGAATGCAGGAATAAAACCAAAGGAGCCTCACTTCACGGTTCTGATTTGGCAAATCGGCTGAAATGCGCTTTCTTTGCCTTTGTTCTTGTGAATGCAGGAATAAAACCGAAGGAGCCTCATTTCACGGTTCTGATTTGGCAAATTGGCTGAAGGGTGCTTTCTTTGCCTTTATTCTTGTGAATGCAGGAATAAAACCAAAGGAGCTTCATTTCACGGTTCTGATCTGGCAAATCGGTTGAAGGGTGCTTTCTTTGCTTTTATTCTTGTGAATGCAGGAATAAAGCCAAAGGAGCCTCATTTCACGGTTCTGATTTGGCAAATCGGCTGAAATGCGCTTTCTTTGCCTTTATTCTTGTGAATGCAGGAATAAAGCCAAAGGAGCCTCATTTCACGGTTCTGATTTGGCAAATCTTCTGAAATGTTTTTTCTCTGCCCTAATTCTTCTGAATGCAGGAATAAAACCAAAGGAGCCTCATTTCACTGTTCTGATTTGGCAAATCGGCTGAAATGCGCTTTCTTTGCCTTTGTTCTTGTGAATGCAGGAATAAAACCAAAGGAGCCTCACTTCACGGTTCTGATTTGGCAAATCGGCTGAAATGCGCTTTCTTTGCCTTTATTCTTGTGAATGCAGGAATAAAACCAAAGGAGCCTCATTTCACTGTTCTGATCTGGCAAATCGGCTGAAATGCGCTTTCTTTGCCTTTATTCTTGTGAATGCAGGAATAAAACCAAAGGAGCCTCATTTCACGGTTCTGATCTGGCAAATCGGTTGAAGGGTGCTTTCTTTGCTTTTATTCTTGTGAATGCAGGAATAAAGCCAAAGGAGCCTCATTTCACGGTTCTGATTTGGCAAATCGGTTGAAATGTGCTTTCTTTGCTTTTATACAGGAATAAAACCAAAGGATCTTCATTTTACGGTCCTGATGTGGTGAATCGGCTGAAGCGTGCTGTCTTTGCTTTTATCTTGAAGGTGCACTCATGTCGGTAGCTTGCACGTGGAATATGAAAAGCAATCCTCCCAAGCCAGGAGACTGAGAAAGCGAAGCCCAAAGCCAAGGAGCAGCCAAAGAGAAAGAGAAAGAAAGCCGAGGACACACAGCGAATTTCGTGTTGTTCTGAGCTTTCTGCTGCTACCTGTTCCCATGCGAGGAGCCTTGCGAGGCCTCAGAAGCCGAGGAAGATGATACAGAGGTGTTCACAGAGCCTGACGAAAGTGCCCGCCAGATGATGTTGCGACAAAAAGCACCTCTCGACCAGACAATCTCGGCAATGGAGGGCCGCTGTGAAGAGCTGCCGCCGCAGATGCGAGGTGGCAAGCGTGTCACCGGACAGAGGCAGCACAAGCCGAAGCGGAGCAAAGAGTTTACAATGGAGTGTTCCTTGCACGGTCAAGAGAACAAGCAAGAGTTCATGATCCCGCAAGCGGCGTTCAGGAGGCTCTTCAAGGAGACTGCCGAAACCGTGACCGCTGCCTTAGAGGCAGATTTGGAGCAGATGGCTTTGCTTCCTGAAGAGAAGAAAAAAAAAGGACGAGGACGGCCCCGCAAAGAGCGATGCCTGACGGTTCCGCAATTCCCCAAGAGTGCGACCCGCATCGCGCAGTACATGGCCGAGGACTTTCTGCAAGCCAGGTTCTCCGACGCGAGTCGCCTCGCCCAGCACTCAAAACGAGAGACGACCATGTTGCGAGACCTCAAGCTGGCAGGGGAGCTACGTGCTGGTGCGCTGGAGAAGCGCAGAGAAGACAACGAGTTCCGTGTTTACCAGTCGGTTCTGGCAGAGCGAAGGCGGCGGTGAGCCTGCTAAAGTCTCACTTGTGCCGTTGGGCACTTCAGGGTGCACTTTAAGGCTGGAGATGTGGTTCCTACTTGAAGCTTAGAATAAAACAAGAACACCACCAGTGGCATCAGCTTAGGACCCCAAAAACCACATCCTGAACCTTAAAAAGGGAAGCTGGCAATCGCCATGCCTTGCAGATTGCCGCCGGGGAAGCAAAAAGTTGTTCGGCAGAAGCAGGTCCTGTCGCAGTGTGTGCGTGTGTCCTTGGCGTGGTGCGCACAAGTTCTTTGTTGTGGTGTGGTTTTGCATGTCTTGGCGTGGTTGCAACGCCCCCTCCTTGCGCAGACTTCGCTTGTTCCTGCCACCGAGGCATTGCCATGAGGTCATCGCCAATGGTCGGCCGCTGTGGGGCAGCGGCGAACTTGCAGTCAACAACACCACGCCGCTCGTCTCCCTCAATACTTCTCCCCGCGCAGGGCTGGAGGCCGTACTGCCGGAGCTGCCTTGCTCGCTAAAGGACAGGCAAACAGCGCACCTACCTTGAACTCTGCAGGACCGACGGCTGCAGGCTCACGGTCATTGCTCTTGAGATTGGGGGCGTTGGGATGCCGTGCCGAGTCCCTTTCGCAGCCAGCCTGTTGTCCTTGCTTTTCACTGGCATGGCCAATGTTGAGGGGGAGCTACGACTTCTGAGCGACATCCCGCTCGCCAGCCATGTGGCGTGAATGCGCTTTGCGCACGCCGCTATTGCCGCTCCTTGCCGCAGACATCCGTCGACTGTTGCCTTGGCTTTGAGGGACCGAGCTGCTTTGGACGTCGGTAGCTTTGGACGACTTGTACGTTCTCACGATGGTCACATCCGATGCGTTTGCTTCTTGTGGCATTGCTCCCGACCTTGGCAAGATGCGGGTTCTCGTCGTGGGCCAAGAAGCGCCGTCGCCAGGGAGTGGCGAGTTGAGCGTCGTGCGGGGATAAAGTGCCCTTAAAGCGAGGCACCGTTGTGCTCGGCACTCCCCTCGGCAGCTCGGAGTTCTTCGGAGCTTGCGCCGACAAGCGGACACAAAAGAAGCAGCGCTTCGTGCTAGAACCACCCCAGGTGCCCATGCAACTTACAGCGGTTGGGCTTGTGCGCCGTCCTGCGGGCCAACCACGCCATTTGCACGGTCCCGCCCAACGTTGTCGCACCGTATGCTGCAGCACACGATGCGCTTGGCGTGCTTCGGAGGTGCACCGCCGGATACTGCGGATCAGGTCCCGGCGCATGGGCTGATGCCTTCGCGGCTTTCTGCGTGCAGGCAGCAGGCGCTGGAAAGACCCTGCGCGGCCAACATGGCCTGGCTATGCCTGGCTCGTCGCTACTCCTCCATCCGGTTATCCCGGAGCAGTGCTGCGTGCCACGGCTACGGCCCGTGATGCATTTTTCGGAAACCGTGCATGTGTTAAGCGTGCAGCCGCGTGCCCGGCAGCCCTCGCTTTCCAATTGTTAACGGGGAACTAGTTGGAGCGTAATCGCTTTCAGGCAGGGGCACCGAGACAGAGCCAAAAACGAAGAGGCACGGATGGCATCCCATGTACACAACACCGAACGGAGCCGTCGCAGGATCGAATCAGAAGAGAGACTGCCGGAGCGGAAGCAAGCCGGAGTCGAGTTGGCGATGGGACCGGAACAGACAAGCAGGCGAACGAACAGCGCACCGGAACCCCGAACCCGCAGATTTCCAGTGGGTTTTTGGCATTGCACAGAATCAGGATTTCATTCGCTTCGTGTTGCATGTGCCTTGTGACTTGTGTTCGGTATGAAAGCTAAAGCGAATCGATATTGCGTGGCTGACGGCTTCCATCAAAACACGCTAAGCGTTGAACGCGATACAAGCAAACACTGATACCGACCGCTGTAAGAGATTCGATTCGCTGCAAGAGGTTTTTTGCAGCCAGTCCATTGTCCAGTCGGCAAATGCATCTGAGGCAAAGACAAAGGATGCGGGCACATTGTTCCCGATGGAGGCCGACGTCTTTGTTACAGAGTTGAGCGATGCCGGTATATGCGATAAGGTTTTCGAGGCGTGTCCATTGTTTCTTGCTGAGTTTACAGTAGCACTTGCTCCGTTTTTCTGGTCATAGCCAGCAACATCAGCAATCCTGCGGCAGGTATGCCAGGCCAAATACTTTCGGTTTATCGCACCCATCTCCGTTCCGCGGATGATCTCTGCCCAGGCCTGGGTTCGGACGGCAAGTCTTTTGAAATAACACGTCTATAGGTGACAAAAAAACAAGTAATGGGTTCGATTGATCTGGCGATTGTTTCATAATTCTCATGCCATGACACTGGACACAGCTTGAGCGCATGTTTCGCCAAACGTTCACAGGTGATGACGTGAGTTTCCTCAAGGTGAGGATTCGGAATGCTTGTTTCGTGGCACTGTGGCCTTGATCTGGTTCCTGAAGGACTGGGACAGTCGCCAATGCGGTACGGAAATGGCAGTTGACGTGCAGGCCAACATTTCCGATCTACATCCATGACGAAGGTTACAGGTTTCAGGCGGTATTCGTCGTGCACACGCGAGCTGGGAGTGTGTCGCAGCGTGCGACTGTTGGCGAGAGGTTGTGCTGCCACGCCCACAAGCTGCCAATGTTCATGCCGTGATCAAGGAGGCAACAATGGGCAATGCATATCCGGTCACGGACTCACCTGCCCCGTCATGATTTGAATGCCCGAAGACCTGGTCAAGCAAGGCCGCTTTTCAAGGAGTGCCGTGCACTGGAGCCGAAGCCTCAGATTTTCGCACCTCGTGAAAAGCACCTTCCTCATGTGTAGCAACAGGTTGTCAAGCGCTGGTTGCCGGACAGAGGCACAATACCTGCTGTACTATGAATGCATACCAAATTTTAGAATTGGAGGTTGACTGCAATGCTCGTCAGGCTATGGATTCGTTAAACCGGACACTGGCGGAGCAGCAACTTGGACCATGTTGCCTTGGTCAAGACCTCTTGGGCAATTTCGAAAATAAGCAACAAGTGCCGCCAAGGACATTTATGTTCACCAGTCTGCCTTGGAGGGTGTGGCCGCACTCAGCTGTGGCGACCACGTCAGCTTTCTCAGGCCGATTCTTCACCGGCAAGACTCACAGCGATTTCTGAAGAAATGTGTGGAGGAGGATGCAGGAACGGCAGGAAGGCAGACAGACGAACAGACTACTAGAATGGTCCTGCCTTTACTCAGTTGCGCTACGGCATGTATTTCACTAGTTCTTAATCCTTCCACACTCAATGCCCCACTCCGTTACCCACCCGCCCACCACCCACTGACTCATTCAGCGGTAGGGGGGCGGGATCGCTTGTGTAGTTGACTCCGGATTTTGCCAGGGTTTCTGGAGGTTTTCCCAGATTGAATTCCATAACCAGGTAGGAGCTGGCCAGATGAGCTGGGTATGCCTACCACCTTCAGGGAATAATTGCTAAAGCTCGAATTTGAATGCCTTCCTGCCTTGAGGATGCGGGTTCGACTCGCTGGCTTTCTTTCCGTTCTTGTATTTCCATGGCCGACAACATGGGACTAGCTATGCCGCTACTTGTAGGCGAAGTAATGAAGCCCAGATGTGCCCGGAAACTTTAATTACTGGTAGTTTTCGTGACACCAGTATGGCAGCAGCAGCAGCAGCAGAAGAAGGATGCCAAGTAGCCATATGCCAATTTTGTTTCGGGCCTGCAATCGACAAGAAAAAACAATTTGATCAATTGACCTGCTTCTTGAGCCCGGCTGTGCTCGCAGGCTTGCCGATGTTCAGGCGGGAGTTGCGGTTCGCGATGGCTTTGTCCTCGGCAAGAGTCGAATTTGCTGATGCCGTTGGTCATGACGGTGCAGGGGCCAAGGAACATTGTGCAAGCACGTGTGCACCCCTCCATTGAAGCAGTGTCACATGATGGCCAGGGCCAGGGAAAGTTCAGAGCTGCCCAGGCGACTCGGACAACTTAATGCCTTAGGGCGTTCTGGTGTGACCAGTTTGTATGTCTAACGACCGCCTGGTTGGCAGCATCTGCTAAGAGGCGACGCAGTTCCAACCGACGAACATGTCGGGCGTTCGGACAGGTCTCGGTGATCCGCTCTGGCAACTTGTTCCAGGATCTTCCGCCGCACCCGATAGTGCCAGTGGCCTGGATAAATTCAGGAAGCCGGGTCTTGGAAGGACTTGGTGACAGCAGGAGCTACTTGTTCGGACAGTGCTGCAGGTTTGAGCTTGGTGTTCGCTGGCGGAAGCATGTGTCCCGAGGAAGGGCCCGTGGGAGAAGCATTGCTGCTGCAGCTGGCGCGGGAGCAGGCCCGCGGTTGCCGCGCAGCACATCGTGACTGTCGTGGAGTGCTGACTCCTTTTACCGAGCAACAAATTTCATGACAAGCCTGAGGAAGGTCACGCTGAACCGTGTCCGCCCGGCATCGTTTGGCTAAGGAAAGCTCCGAGATGCTGGAATTCTTAGAGCGGTACTTGCTGCGGAGCTCGCTGGACTGTCACTTGGCAGTGAGAAGCATGATGTCACAAGCTGCATGGAAGTTGTTCCCATGTTGCGCCCGTAAACAACGTTCTCTAACCTTATTTCTGTTGTTGGCCAGTTTGCGCTCTCAACAGGTCCTTTTCTGGTCCTCTCCGAGGGCCAGCTCGTCGAGTCAGTTCCTGCACCATCCGTACAGGCAGAGCATGGCAGAGCATAGCAGAGCATGGCAGAGTCTCGCAGACTTCATGGACGCCCATTGTGAGCCTGGCAGGCTAAACATGGCTTTTGAGTTTGTGGCAGGATCTCCAGAGATTGAAACAGCTGGTGAGGAATTGCATCGTTCCTCAATCGCAAACAGCCTTCAGTTGTCCAATTTTTTGTTTGCGAGTGCTACATGCTTTTTTTGTCAGTGGTTAATATCAGCAAGTCACATTCTGGAAGAGCCTTCAGCGTAGGGCGTAGACTTCATTGCCTTTAGTTCCATGGGCAGATATATTGAGCCTGCATTGGCAGCAACGTCAGGACACTTG